GAAGCTGCTGCAAGGGGGCTGTGGGCAGAACCTACAATGTTCCCTCTGAATTCCCCCTGGTCCGCCCCACTCACTTCTTCTTGTAGCCCTCCAGCACCTCCTGCACGTGGTTGAGCTCCGAGGAGAGCCTCCCACTGTCGGCCTCCACGCACTCGGCCTCCCGCCTCAGCGTCTCGATGTAGCCACTGAACAGTGGCTCCAGGTTGCTCTCGCAGCAGCGCTGGTTCTGGTAGAACTGCCACTTGGTCTCCAGTAGCTTGTTCTGCTGCTCCAGGAAGCGCACCTGCCATGGGGGTGGAGGAGAGAGACTCAGGGGGATCCTGAGGAAGGTGTCTGGATCCCCAGAGCTCTCTCTGCCCTATAGGGGGCTGGATTAGTAGGGTAGAGCCATGGGGCTGAGTGTCTGGGGCTCAAGGGATCCCATTCCCAGCCCCTCAGGGAGGTGTTTGTGGGTGTGAGAAGGAGAGTGAGCCAGGCTTGAAGCTAAAGTTCTGGTTCAAGTCCCAGTTCTGCCATTTTAAGTGGGCAACTTGATTAACCTCTTGGTGCTCGGTTTTCTCATTCCTAAAGTGGAGAAAATAGTGCTGACCTTAGAGTCACAATGAAGACTGAACAAGTTAGTACATGTAGAGTGCTTAGAACAGTCCCTGACATGTAGTGAGTGCTCAGTCAATTTAATTATGATGATTACCAGTTGTCTTTCACTTATTAATTTACGTAGCAAACACTTATTTAATGTTTACTATGTGGTGTCCGGGCCTGTGCTAAGATAAACACACACACACACATCTGTCTCTGTGTCTATCTTTGTCTCTGTCTCTATCACCTAGCTATCAGTTTCATTCAATTATCACAACCTTATGGGGAGGTAGATACTACTTCCCTCATATTACAGATGGGGAAACTGAGACCCCAAGGTGTGAAATGACTAGCTCACAGTAAGTGATAGAGTCAGGATTTGATGTACCTTGAATCCCTGTGCACGGCCTTTTCCTGCCACCACAGTATGCCTGAGCAGCTCATCTAAACTCTCTCAGCTCCAGTTTCTTATTTGAAAGATGGAGATAATAATACCTACCCCATTGGGTTATTGTCAGGATTAACTAAAATCACTAAAGAGAAAGTAATGACAAGAAGTTCACCTCCTTTGTCCCCAGAACACTGATCCCAGACCCCTGAGCCTGGTCCTGCTACTCTGCTAGAGCAAAGCCTGTGGACACAGAAGGAGCCGTCGTGGAGGTGGCTCCCAGCCTCCTTCCTCAGACCTTCTTGGGAGGCAGCGATTTTCTCACTCTGGCTGCATGAGTGGGCCTCCTCCCACCAGCCTGGCCACCTCTGTCTACATTCCAGCCTTCCATGTAGGTAGAGGCTGCCAAGCCTGGGCTGGTTGGCTGTCACACCTCCTCACCCATTGCTGAATGGCACAGGAAGGACCGGGGAGGCAGTGTGGCTCTGAGGGGTACCCCAGCCACCTCACGTGCTGCCCAGGCCACGAGCCACATGCCTTTTGTTCTCCTGTGATCTCCCACTTTTCCAGCACCCAGTGCCCCATCCAGTTTTTCAGGGACGGCTCTGATATCCAACGTTGTCTTGGCTCCAGAAACACACATACACTTTGGGCCACAGACTAAATTTCTAGACCACACCCGGATCTCAATAAACTTTGCTGGCGTTAAATGATGGAAACGGATCCTCTCCCAATACTGGTCCGCATTCCTTTCCCTCTGCTGTCCCAAACCCGGCGGTCATCGTGTCTCCCCAGCAGACCGGGCCCTTCCAGGGGAGGGCGGGGCAGAGCGCTTCTCTGGACCATCACAGGCCTCACTGACCTTGTCGATGAAGGCAGCGAACCTGCTGTTGAGGCACTTGATCTGCTCCTTCTCCTCGTGCTTCACGCACTGCGCGTTGGGGTCGATCTCCAGGTTGAGGGGCGCCAGGAGGCTCTCGTTGACCGACACGGTGGTGATGCAGGGGGGGCTGGGCCCGCACACGCC